TTCTACCCGAGGAATTTGCCGGCAAACGATTTGCATCAGAAACAACCTTTGATCGGCAAATATATGAGAAATTTTTACATTTCGGCGGGCAGCTACATAAGCCTTCCCACAAAAAAACCTCTAAAGAAAAAAAGCTTAGGCTCCGATTAACTGAACACAGCAGCAAAACTGAAATTACCGACTGAAGTGCAACTGCCCAGCCTGAAGATTGAATAACTGGGCCATAGATGAAATCCTAGATAAACTTAAATTTAGGTGTTTCTTCAAATAGGTATCACCAGCTCTTGTTAGTATGACTATTCACAACTCCTAATTTTTTAGCTCTTTACAGGCTTCAAGGATTCTTGCTTCAAACACGCATTTCCTAACTGCATGTTTAAGGAGGTTTCCACGGTCTTGATCAGTGTGAGCTTCAAAAATTCACAATGGTAGTCGATCACGATATCGCAAATAATTGTCGAAACATCAAAACCAACGTTCTTTCGCTTTTGTTATATGTCAATCAGTCCCAACCAAATTGGGCTGCAAAAAAACCGTCTTTTTACCGCTTTAAGTCATTCACGACAACCAGTACTGCTAAATTTGTGGTGAAAAAGAAAGCAACTTATAAGAAAAGAGCATCCGCAAAAATCTGCGAACTAGACCAGTCAAAGTTTACATTATCAGCCCCTTACAATTCGAACGTTGAAGGGACTTAACTTGCTTCTCTACCTACTTCACAATATCCGAAACGAGTGTTGACAGAAATGAAAAAAGATATTTTGAGAAGAAACTAAGGAAAAGTCCCTTGATCCAAGAAAAACCAGAAAATCAAGCTCCTGAAAACACAGGAGAGTACTGCGCAACCGCCATACGAATTTCATAATAGGCTGCAAAACTGTCACACAAAGGCTTGCTTAAGTAAGTGTATGTTAAACAAAAACAAGAACTCGAAATGAACATGAAGATTACTGATGTCCAAGACCTACCACAGTCACAAAAAAGCTTCTAATGAGCTCTGCAAAGTGCTCAAAAATAAAGAATTATAAAAAAAGAACTGTGAACTTCGTCCAATGTACCGCCCAAATAAGCTTCCTATTTTTCTCATACCGTCAGACAACAGGACGCAGTCCACCATTATTACCTACCACCAAGGATATCGGTTTTGATAAAGAAAGCAGAAACATAACCATTATTTATTCTCTTAGCCGCAGAAAAATGACTCATTTCACCTAAACTATAACCTTCAAATACTACAAAGTATACACCAGCATCGTACCGCAATAAAATTTGAAACCTGTACGCCTTTCACACAGTCTGTATGCTTGGTGGGTAAAAATTTGCGGTCGATAAGTGCACATACGACACATTACTGATAAAACATCAGGACAGATCTACTTTCACCTTCCAAAACTTAATCCAAAAACCCCTGA